TAATTTTTTAGCTTTATATCATTTAAAAATAATTTTAGTTTTAAACTTTTGTTGCTATCGTACTTTTAAAAACATTTTTTATTCTAACCATGTTTTTGAGGAACTGAGTCAGGGATAATGTAAACTTTCTCTATGTCCTGGATGTATACTACTTTTCTTAGTGTTACAAGAATGTTATTTGTTACACATTAAAACAGTAAACTACAATATGTTTGAATGAAAGAATTCTGTGTCATATACTTGTCACATACTTTTGAAGGACATGTTTCTACAGGGTTTTGATTTCAATCCTAATGTGACTGTCTACAACAGGCTAGATTATGTGGTATCTCTTTACAACATATTAACATATGACTAATATTACCAACAAATTACCAATGTAAGTCAAGGGTAAGGACTATTTTTAATCTTCTTTGTATCCCTACAGAGCTTAGCATATAGTAGGCACTCAACAAATGCTAGATGAATAAAATAATGAATGAATGAACTAACAACAAATCAATGAAGACAGGAGAAATATTTGTGGGGTGCTGGCCTTGTTTTAAGAAATCTTGAAGGCCCAGGTGTGGTGGCTCACACCTGTAATCTCAGCACTTTAAGAGACCGAGGTGGGCAGATTGCTTGAGGCCAGGAGTTCATGACCTGCCTGGACAACATGGCAAAACCTTGTTTCTACAAAAAAATACAAAAAAAATTAGCTGGGTGTGGTGGCAGTGCCTATAGTCCCAGTTACTTGTGAGGCTCAGTTGGAAAGATCGCGAGTGTCCTTAGAGGGCAGGAAGAACTGGAGGCAGGGTGATGGGGCGGGAACAAAGTGGGGCGGGGACGCTGGGGCTTTCCATGTCAGCTAGCTTGGGCTGACTCAGAAAAAGATGCTATAAAATAGTTACAGTGCAGGGGAAACAACAGCCATATGCCAGCCAAAGACTTAGCTTTGTATTCATTCATTTGTTTAGTTCTCGAAATGAGCCATTAGTTTGGTACTATTATTTGCCCTTCACATATGTGGACACAGAGTCCCAGAGAAGTAAAGCAACTTGCCTTTATTACCCATGTGCAAGTCAGCATAATTTGTGGTGGACCCAAGATTCAAACCCAGGCAGTCTGACTCCAGTCACACTTTCAGCTTCTGTGCAACACAAAAGCTGCTGTGCAGAGCCTGAGAGGAGAGTTGCATACGATCATAAGAATCTGACAAAACCCAGGACCAGGAAATTTGGTTTGATTTGACTCACATCCCAAAGGTGTGGCTTCCAAAGTTGCCCAATAACTTGGATTGTTAATAGGAATGGGGGAGGTGACAGCAGAATGCTGTATGTCTAGACTTCTGTACAGGACAAACTGAAAAATTCCAATTAGTGCTGAAGTAAGCCTTTAGGTATACAGTGGGGCAGTGAGCGAGATGACAAGACTAACTCATGTCAAGAAGAATCCAAAATGAGATGGATATATTATTAGAATAGCAAGACCTCAAAGGGAGACCTCAGGCAAGAATGATATCCAAAGGCATCTCTGATCCTGAAGGTTTCTTTTATTCACTCAGTCAGTATCTGCTGAGCACCAAGGAGAGCCCTGGGAGACGGGCAGTTCTTACTCTACTCTGGTGTGAACATAAGCCTGGGTTCTGCTGAAGGACCAAAGCTTCCTATTAAAATAATTGACATTTGTAAGTTATAGACTTTGGCTTAAAGTAGTGATATTTCATGAGTGTTTATGCTACAGGAGACTTTTTCCTTAGGGAAGGTCTTGCATTTTTAGTCATCTTTGTGGCCTTAATACCTAGTATGCTACCTAGAATGTGGCAGGTGCTCTGTTTATATTAGGTGAAGAAAGAAGGGAAGGAAGAAAGACCAGCTATCTCTACAAATGGGTAAAATTTGCAAATAATAAATTTATTGATACAAAATGCAACAGTCTCCTCCTGTACGTATTTCTTCCTAAGTGTGAATGAATTGGAGGTGCACTCAGGTAGCACAAGCTAATGTTCCTTTTAAAATGCCAAATAAAACGCTAACCTAAAGATAGGGTAAATATGCATCTTCCTTATAGTCTCAACTTGCCAAATGACTATTTGCCAGTGACTGTTTGCCAAGGGACATATTTTGACTTCCTTCAAAGGCAGTTGAGGGAAACTGCTTCTTTTAACTTAATGATGAAAGATTCCGTGTGAAGTGACCAAAGTCTTAGATAAGCATGACCAGGTGGCCAAGATTTCACAATAGCAAAACCCAGGTGCAAGTGTAGGTGAGGTGACTGGACACAATGAAATCTGTATTTTTAGACTTTTTAAAAACTCAGAAAAAATGAATATATATGATCCCATGTTAAGAAAGACATAGCTTTCTTAATGTAAGAGGCATTAGAAGGATTAAAATATAAACACTTCATGACAATTACTAATTATCTTGTTGAAAAAACAAGGTTGGCCATTTGAGAAAACCTGGGCTGCCAAGGCAACTCTGTGACCTTGGCTTTCTAAAGGGAGGTATAAAAGGCAACAGGGACTGACCCTTTCCTAAAGAGAATTAAGTGTAGGAAGTCAGGACACCCCGAAATGGATAGAGCCTTATAGGAAATTTAAAGATGGCAGTAACTACAAGCTTAACAGGAGTTTTTGTTGTTGTTGTTGTTTGAAACAGGGTCTTGCTCTGTCACTCAGGCTGGAGTGCAGTGGCACAATCACGGCTAGCTGCAGCCTCCACTTCCCAAGCTTAAGAGATCTCCCCACCTTAGACTCTTGAGTAGCTGGAACTACAGGCCCTCGCTATCATGCCTGGCTAGCTTTTGTATTTTTTTTTTTTGTTGTTGTTGTTGTAGAGATGGGGTTTTGCCATGTTGCCCAGGCTGGTTTCAAACTCCTGAGATCAAGCAGTCCATCCACCTTAGCCTCCCAAAGTGCTGGGATTACAGGCATGAGCCACCATGCCTGGCCAACAAGCGTTTCATAAACTCAGTTTTAGCACTAATGCCACTGCAGATAGTATGACGGTCACATGTAAACTGAGGAAGTAGAATGGCTTAACACCTATTTTGTATCTTCTTCAAAAAATATTTTCATAAAAGTGACAAATGATTAAGGTTAAGTGGTATGTTAAAGCCTGAGATAATTGATAAATCAGAAAGTGAGCATGTGTCTATGTTGAGTCCAAGCCTCTGAGCCATGGTAATTATACCCACAGGACCAAAGCCTGCTTATTACAGAACCACTATTATGTTTGAGAGAGATCGAAGAGAATGGAAAGAGATTTAAGAAAACAGGCCAAATGTCAATTCAAAAGGGACAAAATATTCTAAAAACTACACAACTTGACACTCACAACTGAAAATTCTTCAGAAATAATTGTTAAATATATGATTTGTGACATTTAAGGGGAATAAAGCACTGACTACCAGGAGCCAGTACAGATTCTGGCAAAACAAGCCAGGCCCCTATAACTTCAGCTCATTTTAAAAATAGAGTTTCCAGCAAAGGAATGCTCTGATGTATTTTGTAATATATTTTGACTTCAGACAAGATACGGGCCAAGTGTTTTTCAAGATTTCTTGTGGAGATATATGTTGTCAGCTAAATAACTCTACTCAAGGAGTGATCAGCTATGTTCACCATCATTCTGCAGGTCTTTGTCCTTGGTTCTGTGCAGTTTATTTTAATTCAGTGATTTGGATAAGGACATGTAAGCTGTGCTTATTTAATATAAGCTGGGAGGCATAAAGCATAAGATCACATTGTCAAGATTCAAAAATATCCCAAGTAGTCAGAAAATGGTTTAAAGCGATTAGGATAATTTATTGTTATATTTGGCTGGGTATATATTACCACTAAAAAAAAAAATCAAACATTCTATTATGCAACAGATAAGAACCACCTAACAGCAGGCGATGTAAAAAAGTTCCTAGTGTTTTTAGCCACTTATAACTTCAATATCAGCCAACGAAGTGCAATTCAAGGAGCTAATGCAAACTTAGGCCACACAGTAGCACTGTACTCAGTAGACCAAATTTTGGAATACCTTTTTCTTTTTGAGACAGTGTCTTGTGCTGTCATCCAGGCTGGAGTACAGTAATGCGCTCTCAGCTCACTGTGACCTTTGTCCCACCAGGCTCAAGTGATCCTCCCATCTCAACCTCCTGAGTAACTGGGACCACTGGTGCACACCACCATGCCTAGCTTTTTTTTTGTATTTTTGGTAGAGACAGGGATCTCGCCATGTCGTTCAGCCTGGTCTTGAACTCCTGAGCTCCAGTGATCTGCCTGCCTTAGCCTCCCAAAGTGCTGAAATTATAGGCGTGAGCCACCATGCCTGCCTATTCTGGAGTATCTTGATTGTGGGCCACGTTTTATGTAAAGACAATGACATATTGTGTGTCAAAGGATGGAAAGGATCAAGAAAGTTCTAGAAACTGTCACCCGAGGAATGGTCAAGGGGAATGAGGATGTTTATCCTGGCAGAAGAATTAGGGGAATTCAAAATGGTTTTAACATATATGGGGTGTGTGTGTATGTATTATTTTATTTTTTTCTGGAAGAAATGCAATATACTCTTCTGTACTCTAAAGGGCAGGGCCTAGACACTTGATTGGAATCTACATGGAGCCAGAGCTGGGGTCAACAAAGTGAAGCACAATCTAAGGATTATGGCTGTCATATGTGGAATGTGACACTGTATGTGTGGGTGACCTCCTTGTCACTGGATGACCTGGCGAGTGTACTAAAGGGAGAGCCTTCTGGGTGGCTGGAAGGATGCACTCCAAAGTCATTCCAGGTGGCACTCCTAATGCAACTGGACATCAAGGAAACAGAGACAAAAACCACAGAAAAGAAGCAGCTCCTTTCTCCCAAATGATTATATATTTGTTTGTGTTAAAAACTTTTTTCCCCCTTTTTTCAGGTTGTCAAGGGAATGTCTGAACAGGAGTGAAAAAGATATTCAATTACACAATCTGCTTTGACAATATCATATTAGGCCTCAGAAAAAACATACAGTCTTCTGTCTACTCACTGTTTATGCACTGACAGGTCCGACAACCATTGTGATCGCGTTTGAAACCATTAATGCAGTCCTTCCCTGTAAGAGTGCAGTTTGATAATTCCCCACAAGCAGGTGGATCAACTGTGATGATGGTTGGTTCTAATAATAGAGAAAAAAATAATCAATGAAACATATGGTTATCTTTTAGATGCTATTCAATTTTTGAAATTCCACACCATAATGTTAAAAAAATCGAATCAACAATTGTCATCAAATCCAAACTTTTATGCTCTAGTAATATCTTTAACCCCTGAAACAGATATATTTGTGTTCAGATTTTTGAAAACATGAACACTACTTCTTTGTGTTTGAGCAGTTCATGCAGTTTTTGGTACCTTCACACAATTCTTCTGTGATGGTCACCACTACTGGAAGCAGACAAGAGAGGTTAAAATGAACTCCATTTAAATTGTTAACTGCTCTTCTATTTCTTCCTGATGTTTTCCGGTTTGTTTTTTATAATAATCAGGATACAGCTGTCAACTATCAATTATCTCACTCCCATTCTGTAATACTTCTGAAATCTGTTACTATTTTTTTTCCAAATTAATAAATCAGTCTTTGAGACTAGTTTAAAACACCTGGATTTCTTTTATCTTTTATGTGACACTCCCTCACTTATGACAGATGATACGACAGATAACTATACACTTATCCTCAGGGCCCAGGGACTTGTGGGAGTGGCAGAGGGAGATACACGCATTCAGGAGAAAGAGTGGGCAGCCATGCTGGGAATAGGGCACGAAACAAAGCCAGACCAGAGGCGACGCTTTACCTTACCTGCCACATTAATGAAGAACTGCTTTGGGTAATAACAGTAACTACATATACTTACATAAAGCACAGTACGTGTTTACATAAGGTTTAAAGTGCTGTTCATAAATGCCTTCCAGCTTTACCATATTCCAGTGAGGTGGGTGCTATTATTATCCTCAATTTACAGATGAGGAAATCTAGCACACTGACTTGCCCATGGTTACAGTATTAGTTTGTGGTGGACCCAAGATTCAAGTCCAAGCAGTCTGACTCCAGTCACACTCTCAGCTTCTGTGCGACACAAAATCTGCTGTAATGGTACCTGTTTCTCAACGCATCAATAAGGGACAGTTTATAAAATGCCAGGTTGTGAGAACGGTGTTGCCAAAGGAAACAGAGGCACTGACAAACTTATGCAACATCTTTTCAACCAAAATATACTAACGTCTTCAAAGTAAGCTGTTGCTCACAATATCTTTGTGAAAGAGCTGAGTACAGAATATCTCTACCTACATTTTCACAGATGGAAAATATGAGGTGCAGAGGGGGTAACTGGCTTATCTAAGTTTACATAGCAACTCAGTAGCAGGCTGGGAATAGAACAGAACAGAGGTTCTTAACCTCCTGTCCAACACTCTATCCATTAGTCCACACTGTCTTCTCAAGTTTCATCTCCTGTTACCAGGGAAGAGAGATCAAAATAAGTGTTTTAGCTGCCACTGCTGAGATCAAGAGTTCTAAATTTTTATCCATCTACTAAAAGGGGACAGAGATTCAACTCTTCACAGGTAGCAGGCAATGATGACTTACTAGAGAGATGCTTAGATCAGCATTCTCCCAGTAAAAATATGTATAAAGTGAGTATAGCACATTCTCTATTTTTATTACAAAGAACAGCATCTTACTAAAATTTTTATATAAACTTTTCACTGCTATAGTTTCTAATGTCCTTCAATAACCAAGGTATTCTTTCTGATAACTGTAAACATCAAAAAGTAACTAAAGTTTAGTTGTTTTAAGACGTCCTGAGTTAGACACAGTATTGCTGCTCCCCTTCATTCTCTTAAAATTTACTGTAAACACCTTTAGTTCTCAAACCTATTAGTCTTTCTTTTATCACCACTTTTATTAGCTACCCCAAATAATGATTCTATTCCAATCTTCAGTACCAAGACTGCCAATGTTTTGTCAAAATTACTCTAACCACAAAAATGAGAGACAGCAGAAGCCAAGTGTCAGGTTTAAGTAAACCCACTATAGGTTATCCCAGTGAGAAAGGACTTCTATGTTCTAGAGTGATTAGGCCAAAGTTGAGGGAAGAATTCTGAACTCTATGCACACCGCTTTCCCAGACAGCTTATGGGTAAACAAATGTCTTAAGTGTATCTACGCATACCAAAATCTTCTATTCTTTACTTACATTTAAGATGTGAAATTTATGAGAAACTCTTGCATTCAGAAAATATACTATGAAAAAGTATATATTGAAGAAGATTAAACTGACCCTGAAAAATGTGTAATCATCATAGGATAGTATGGAATTTGAGCAGCAGTGAATTTTAGGGATTTATTTAGAGAATCCATTGTCTAACTTTTACAAAGATGATCTTCTACCTCTAAATGATACTTGCTCTCAATAGTGATGTATGTGCTTCTTTTTTTTTTTTTAAAAATATATTATGATTAACCATGAGATTAAGGTTGTGATCTGTGGCTACAAAGTGAAAAGAACAAATGGACTGGGTTGTTTGAGGATCAGAACCACAATGCTGACTTGGGCAGCCCCGTATCAGTCATAGAAGCCAATCCATCCAAATGGCTTCAACAGTTACGTACACAGTCACAGATGTACATGTAACACACATTTCTCCAGGAGAGGAAATACGTTCAATTGTTTTCCTAAAATATTCAGCACAACAGGTTTTGTTCACTTGAACAAATAAAATTGCAAGAAAGGGTCATTCAGTATGTGCTGGTGTTATAATGTATGTGTTAAATATTTCAGGTAAAACAAGTCCTACGGGATACCTTCCAAGCCTCAATGCTGTAGCATGCAAGAAGCAAAAAATCATTTTGTGCCTCTAAAATTAATATTTTCCCATTCACTTATGACCTATATTAGATGAAAGAAATGGAGACGCACAGCCATTTCAAATTTTCACACCCTCAATATTTAACATTAAACACAGAAAAACGCAACAAAATCTTTTATTCATGAAAACTTTCAATTTACTTTAGAACCATTCAATTTCCCCTCGATAGATTAGGCTGAACACAACAATAGTCATTGTGATATGTTAAATATAGCTAGAAGTCTAGGTTTTCTTAAAAAGACATTTTAACACTTGGCATCTCATTTTATTACATTTAACAAATACATCTCATTTTCCTACTCAAATACAAACTGGAACAAATTTTAAAGGTTTTTTCTGGGTGGTAACACATGTTTCTTGGGTCCTTACTGCTAATATCCTATGTCATTGGAGTAACCACTGAGTTGTAATAAACACATTTGCAGGCAACTAGTTGTCTCCTGGCATTTCAATTGAAGTCATACATTACAGTCTACTGCCTTTCATCATTCTCCCGACATTTTAGTGCTTGGTTTCCTATCATATGAGGCCATATCCAGAGTAGTTAGATTTCTGTGAGAACAACATTACAACAAAAATATGACCTGTAAGCATATAGATTATCTACCTATTTATAAATTATCTAGAAAAAAATCTCATATTATTGTTAAACATATTTGAGAGTTTGCTTTCAGTCCAATATATTATTATAGAATATCAGAACTGGTCCTACTACTAATATCAGGGTGATTTTTTGAGAAACAAGTGACACGAGACAACTGAGATTCAGTTTCTTATGCTAAACAATTAACTCCAAAGTGAGACATATTTGACACCATGCTGAATTAAAGCATTTCAAATCAATATTATATTTATGGTTCTTAAAGAATAATGACCAAGAGCTGGTCAGATTCTTAACATAGCTTTTATCCAAGAGAGTTCCTGGTGGGAGAAGAGGTGATTTTAAAGGATCTAGAATCATGGTATCTCAGTATGACTGTTTCTCATCCAAAAAAAAAAAAAAAAAAAAATAAAGAAGCTGGAGGGAGTGTCAGCAAAGTATGTGAAACATACATTCTGCTTGTCTAAAAGTTAGAGCATCGTGAAATTTGTTCATCAGGAATTGTTATTATCCCAGAATTGTTATTCTCTAGTCTATGCAACAGTGCTTTGAATATGGAAAATACCTGTCGGGTTTTAGTCTGCAGACCAGAAGATTCTCATTTAAATCCTACATATCTGTGCTCCTATATTACATGGGGTATGGCACTGAAATTGTGTGTCAGAGAGTACATGCCTTTCTAGAAGGATGATGGTGATCCCCTATCTTTGATGTGTTTGGTAAACAAAGTTCAATTGAACAGAGGTCCTGCTAAGATTTCTGGAGGCACTGATGCATCCCTGTATGTGATACTTGTTGCTTAGAGCAAAGAAAACTGTCCTCCTTTAAACTGGCTGGGTAGGTATGTGTTAGTAGGCCTCTTTCAGAGGAGATAAATGGTCTTAGATTTAGGAGAATGATGAAATGCTTGCATAAAGGTGGGGTTTTGGAGAGGGGAAATTCAGTGAAGTACTGTTTATAGGATCACCCTGAAATTCTATCTCATCTTGTATTGAATCAGCTGAGGAATTAAAGAAATACCTTAATGTCCTCCAAAGGAAGAAGGCTTGAAACAGCAGGAATTCACTGTCTTTGGCTACTACTATTTCTAAAGGGAACCCTCGAACAGCTTCCTTGTGGAGAAGAATTCTAGAAATAGTTTGAGCCTAGAAGCAATAAAGAACAAAAATGGGTGTTTGTTATGTCTACATCCGGTTTGCTTGTTTCCTACTCAGCATCTGAGTGGGAAACATTACTCTCCTCAACCTGTTGTTTTCTTGAACAATTTTGAGAGACCCTCCAGGCACCTTACACTGTCCAAAAGAGCTATTTTTAAAATAACCCTTGGGATTGTCAGGAGTGCAGATGCTCAGCCACCAATTCTTATCCCAAGTCTTAAGAGAACAAAATTTTGACAAAGTATCTTATAACATGCAATAACATAAACAAACACACGCTGATTCTTCATTTTACATTTATTAAAAATTTAGGGTTACTTCTTTCATATCCTAAAAAGCCTAACAGATATCTTGTCAGTAAAGGTATTTCCAGGAAAATGTTAGTATTTTTTTTACAAATTAGAGAGCTTCAGACACTAAGTTATTGAAAAACACCATCGGTATTTTATATTGATGTTCACATATTTCCTAGGAGCAATTTTATCTACTCAA